TTAAACATATGCATTTTCTATTGATGAACACGTTTTATTATCAAACTTTCATAATCATATTTTCGTTTTTTCTAATAAATGGCTCATCTTTTCTCACAGAAAACTAAACTATTGAAAATAAATGCTTCTGATTAACAATAACAAAATGACGTCCAGCTCATCTTGATAAAATACCAAACCTGCTTTACATACTATCAGAACAAAAAAAAAAACAACTTCCATTTTTTGATAATCTTCATACTATCCAGATAAAAATCGTAATTTCCATAAAACAAAGTCGAAAGAAATATATTCTTTTTTGAGTTTTAGGCACATAGCTATTTCGCAAGCCTCTATAGTATCTAATATATAACACAAAAAAAATGAATATACTGCTCATATTTACCTTAAAATGACTATCATATAATTGTAAGTTACTATTCAATAATTCAAAATGAATACTTTCTTTTCTTCTCTTTTACAATCCTATCTATCTAATCGAAATGGTAAGTTGCATTTAAGATTTAGATACTAATTATAACATCTCTTTTCTCGTTTAAGATTCTTCTAATGGATTTCGCCCAATTCTGAGTTAAATGGCCGTGGATATTTTTTGAATAACTTTTGATAGGAACGAGATAGAGATCTGGAGTTTTCACTGTTGGATAGAGCAGATAAAGATGCATCGAATTATATATAGAAAGATTTTGCTAACTACTTTCCTAAAGGTTTAGTCAAACGTTTTCAAAAAATTGCTTTTTCTTCTACGTGAAAAAAGTGGCTTCTCTATCAAAATATTACAAAAATTTATATTTTTCGATTATTTTGTTGAAAAAAATGAGGTGGTAAATTGTATTTCGATGGTTTGGATATCATACTGGTAATAGTTAGGAACAGAGTCTTGATTTAGTATTGTAGCCCTTCCTTTGGCAACTCTATCAGACTCCTAAAAATCAACAAATTAATATCGGGACCATGAGAAGCATGCTGTTTTACTTGAAGTTTTATGTAAAACTTATAGAAAAGTAGCTAGAAAAAACTTTCTATATAGTTCGATGCGTCTTCATCTGCTCTATCCAAAGGTGAAAATCACAGATCTCTATCTCATTCCTATAAAAAGTTATTCAAAAAATGCTCACGGCCATTTAACTCTGAAATGAACAATAGTTGATCATAATTAACATAAAAAGATAACTTTTTTTTTTGAATAATACGATAATGAGATGGTAGGTGGTTTTATCTAAGACTCTAATTTAGAATAAAAGTTAATTATAATACGTCGTTAAATTAAGATGAACACTTTATTAATTATATAGTCTTATTCAGTAGTTTGATTAGAAGGTATTTAGAAGCGGGGCAGAATAGTCTATTTAATATCATCTATTATTTATAAAAGTTTATCAGAATGTAATATTTTCCTTGTTTTCAATGTTGTCTATAAGTAAGGCTTTGACCATTTTTAGACATCTGTTAAAACTTTTCCATTGAGAAAATTTTCAATAAAAATTTCTAAGAATTGAATAGATCGAATCAACGAGTTTTGACTATGTCAGGTATGTTTAACATTAAAAACAAATATCTATCCGTTTAATGAGAAAATTTTCAAATGCATCTGAAGAAGTTTTTATTTTAATTGAGTCTTTATCATAATAATATTTCTTGCATCGATACCTATTTTGATATAGAAAATAAAAACTGGTTTATGTTGATACGAGATCGAAATTGCACAATGTTTTTCTCATGTGTAACATTGATTGAACGATTTATAATAAGATATGCACATATAGATTTATTTAAAATAATGTAAAAAAAAATAAAAGAATTATTATTCTTATCGTTCAGTTAAATTTAAATAAAATGAAAATATTTCTTCAATATTTATATTAAAAAATATCAAATAAAAGCTAACATAGCTAGTTAAGAATATTTAATTAGATGTCACTTTTCATACAATAATTATATTTTGAAATTAATTTAATGTATCAATCATATTGTGATAGATGTTTATAGTCAACAACAAAAAAACCAAACCATATATTTAATTATTTACTTGTGAGCTAACAGACTAGTTATATATTGTTAAGAAATCAAATATTAGTATATCACGTAAAATAATATTTCATCGATAAAACAGATATTAATCAAGAATCGAATTTTCTTTATTGTTATTATTTTGATTTATTGATTAAATTTGGTTCTTAACTACTTTTTTTTCAATAAGGTTTCGTTTATTCTTGCTTTATTTCATCAAAAGTGAATAGCATCAAACTTGCTTCTAATCCTAAGACATTTATTTCATACTCTTCTTTTTTTCTCTTACAAAAGAATAAGATGCAATTCGTTTTTTTTTTAACTATTTGTCTTTTTCAATTGAAAAAAATAACACGAATCTATATCGATAAAGTCAAAAGGCATTATTCATCTAGTTCTTTCAAAACAGAGCTCAACTGTTAAGATAGATAAGTTCTATTTGGAAGACAAAATATAATGACCCGTTCTCTGGTTTTTTTTGACAGATAAAACAGTTGCTGAATAGAATTGTTACATAATAATTATCAATCGAAATAGTTCATATGAAAATAATCAGTCAATTGGCACAATTTTCAAAAAATAATCGGTTCATAGAATAATCATCTATCTATCACAGAGCAACTATTAATCTTCAAACATTATTTTAAAATTGTTTGTTTCACTTCTTAAAATAAATATTCTCCCATATTAAATTTAATAAAAAAAAAACAAAAATAAATAAATACAAGAATTGATTGATAGTTAATTTTAATAAAGATAATCAATAATTCACATTTTCGAATTAATATCGAAAATAAAATGATATTTATTGAAATAGATCAGAATGTTCTAAGAAGAGATAATGCATTACAAGACATTAACTTCAATAAAGTATTTTCATAGATTATTAGTGCATGAAATTAAAAATCCATTAGAATAGAAATAAACATAATTATATAATAATGCAACTCCTATTATTCACTAGAATTTCTTTTTTTTCTACTTTAATTGATTGAAATTCATAAATATTTCAAAAGATAATAGTGCATTAAATCTTCAATGAATTAAAATGTGTGAAAATAGCTTACATTATCATCAAATAACACTAAGTAGTTTTATATGATAAAAAATACATTAAAATATAGATTATTTTAAAAACCTATTACATAAGTTATAGACTCGATGAGTTTACTCGATAATTGAAGGAACGAATACTATTATTTGACAAACATTTACAAACTATTTTTAATGTGGTAAAAACAATATCATGATCAACTGAATATATTTACCCATTAAGAAATAATTGAAACATCATCAATCAATCGTTTACTGTAAGAAATAAATTATTTGAAAAACATACTATTTTATCTATCCGAAGAAAATTCATAGGGTTAATTGAAGTTAGGAAAATCTAGCATGATATTAGCAATATTGAACAATTTTTAAAAAACAATATCAAACTGTAGTAAATATTGCATTGACATTGATTTGTTTGAAAAGATGTTTTAGATAATAGTAAGTTTATTTTCTAAATATTTTTTAAAATTATTTAGTTTTTTCAGTTAAAAGATTATCTATCATGGATTTACCTATATATATGAATATAGGATATACTTTTTTTCTTAACTTGATATTAAATCTACTTTATATTAGATACTTATTTTTTGCTTTCTTTCATAAACAAAAAACAATTTTCTTTTAACTATTCAGCTAGAAAAATTCAACTAATAATATTCATTTATATATAAAAACTTTTCAATATTTTATTTTTCGATTGTCACCTCATTTAACTATGACGTTCTTGTAGGACACATTTACGAGGGAACCATTTCAACTGATTCCGAGCTTTCGACTTCATCTTTTGGCTATAAGTAGGTTCCAGTGAGACTAAGAAAACCCTAGAAGCGTTCATTCCTATGGCGTATTAGTGAAGAGTTATGGTCGTTTTACTGAAGTTTTTGGCTGGGACAGGGTATTTCCGAAAACCCTAAAATAAATAGTTTTGACCTGAAATTTTGCCTATAGATAGATCTATTAGTTATTAGAAAGTCCTGAAAATTTCAAAGAAAATAAACATGCCTTTCTCGAGATATTCATTTTTCAAAACAAACAGCCTCTTATTACAGGAGAACCAAATTGTCAAGTTCATTGGAAATTAAACATCTCAAGAAAGGCATGTTCATTTTCTTTGAAACTTTCAGAACTTTCTAATAACTAATAGATCTATCTATAGGCAAAATTTCAGGTCAAAACTATTTGTTTTAGGGTTTTCGGAAATACTCTGTCCCAAGCAAAAAATTCAGTAAAACGACCATAACTCTTCACTAATACGCCATGGAAACGAATACTTCTAGGGTTTTCTTAGTCTCACTGGAACCTACTTATAGCCAAAAGATGAAGTCGAAAGCTCGGAATCAGTTGGAGTGGTACCCTCGTCAGTTTGCCTGCTAGTTTGACTTTTTCCTACAGCTACACATCATACCAACATCCTTATTGTCATAATAATAATTCATTTGTTAATTTCTCTTCTTCGACTAACATAAGAAGAATGCTAATTGAAATTGACGTAGATTCGACGAATATCATCAAGAGACAGTAAATGATCCTTCATATAAAATAAATTTCTAAAGATGATTTTGCTATTTATAATTAAAATAATAGCAATATTAGCTCTATGAATCTAAAACGAAAACTTAATTCTATATATAAATCAATAAAATAATTTGTTTAAAGAAATAATCTGGAAAATTCTATGAATAATCGTGAATATATCTCATTTGAGTGAAAAATAATATAAGAAAACGGATAAAAGTAAATAGAATAAATTAAATTAAAGTTGTTATTAATTGAAAAATGTTTTGAGTGTATTATGAATTGATTCGTATTAGCAAATTATTTTCTTATCATTATAGTTTAATTATGTTTTCAATGCATTAATAAATAAAATAGGAAAAAAAAATAGAAAAATATCTTTGTTTTTTTTGTAGATTTAAAAAGAGAAGAAGAAAAAAATGTCTTCGACAAACACAATAATAAGTTCAATAACAATATATGTTGGTATTCCAATATTTTTAAGTGGTACTTTAGGAAATATTCTTAATGTTCGTCTTCTTTGGCGAACTCGTTATAATCCATGTGCATTTATATTTCTCGTATCATCATTAATTAATTGTATTGTTTTATTTTATGGTTTATTTACAAGAATTTTAGGTATTGGTTTTCATCTTGATTGGTCAATAACAAATCGAATATGGTGTAAAACTCGTGCTACATTAACTCAATCAAGTTTTTTAATTTCTTTAACATGTATTTGTTTAGCAAGTATAGATAGATTTTTTGCTAGTTGTCGTCAAGAAAAATATCGAAAATTAAGTAAATTATCAATAGCGATACTATCTGTTATAATAACAAATATTTTTTGGATATCAGTTTTTATTCCTTATTTAATCTATGTTGACTTAGTCAAAAATCCAACAACAGGTTTAATGTCTTGTACACTTATTATACGAAATCAAGTTTTTTCTATATATCAAAATTATATTGTACTTCCTGTATGTTATGGTTTATTACCAAGTACAATTCTAATAATAACAGGTATAATGACATATAAAAATACAAATAAATTACAAATAGGTCGTCAACGAGAATTAATTCAAAAACAATTAACATCAATGATGTTAATACAAATTCCAATAATAATTATATCAACATTACCATATGTTACATTTACAGAATATACAATATTAACTGCAACAGTAAATAAATCTGCTGATAGAAGAGCTATTGAAATTTTACTTACAAATATTTTTACAACTTTATGTTATATAACATTTGCATGTCCTTTTTTTGTTTTTATTGCTTCATCATCATCATTTCGAGAAGAAGCGAAAATATTATTTTTATGTCGAAAACCAAATCAATTGAGAAACAATCAAATTCAACCCTTTTCTACAAATATATTTCGAAATATTAAACCAATATCTATCAAATAGAATTAAAACATATTTCAATTTCACTAAACTATTATTAAATCTATTTCTATAAATCAATATTTTTTTCTTTTCAAATTTATTTTTTTATTGATTTGATGTTGTTTGTCTCAATATTGATATTCACACTAGTTAGTTGAGTGTTTGTTTTGTATTTTTGAAAGAAAAATTCTTGTTGTCTGTTTGTATACTACATTATTTGTATTATAAATAAATTATTGTTCAATTCAAAAATGAATATATTCAATAAATAAATAAATAAATATTATTTTTATCTTTTATTTTACATCTATGATATTGATTGTTAAAATAATAGAGTATTTATGTCATCTTACTCTTTATTAAGAATTTCTTTGTTAAAATAGTTAAAAATTTGAAGGTTATTATTTAAATCTTCAAACAATTTATTTAAAGAATTTTATTATAAAAGAAATTCAAACTATTGAAATTCTTTCAGATTTTATGACAAATTATTAATAAAAAGAAAAAAAAAACGTTAAAAAACATATAATTTAAGGTAATTATTATTTAAAGAAAACTAATTTTTTAAAAATAAAATCTAATTTTGTTTTAATATTATTGAATATTTAAAGGATGATCACGTGTTCAATGAAATTTTCTATTAATTAAACTAAATTATTTTTAATTCGAATAAAAAGTTTTGTCAAAATAAAAATGACATATTGAGATAATCATTATCATTATACTTATCGAATTTATTTATTTTCTTTTTGAAAACTTTTATATTTTTTCAAAATAGATATAGATTTTATTTGAGATTTATCAATTTAAAACTAATTAATATATTCATACTAATGTTCAATGTTAATTGTTAGTAATATTGTTTGATTCTATAACTTATATATATATATATCTGTTTATCGTTGATAAAATATCATTTCTGAAAAAAAACCAAAATTTTAATTTGCTATTTTATAAATCAATTAACATTTAAGGAGTATGTTGCACAAATAAATAGTTATTCTTTTCTAGATTTAATTCTAATATTCTTTCAAATAAAATCGTTTTTCAACGAAAAACAATTTTGAAAAATAGATAATTAATTAGATCAATTGAATAACCGAATTGAGACTATTTCTATAATAGATGCAAAGATCATTCACACAGAACTTCAAAACAGCATTGAAACTTAACATTTCATCATATCGAAAAATTGAAATTAACAAGGAAAAGATTAACTAAATAATCAGTATTAATATGATTTTTCAAATATCGAAGTTTATCGATTAAAATATTGAACTGATACAAGAAGTTATCAATACTATTGTGGATCTTTAATATAACTAAATGAAATATATGTTTTCTTTTGTGATTTAATATATTTAGAAATTTTCTACAGGCCTAAGTAATAAATTTGTAAATAGTCATTAATCAATAGTTTATCATGAATAATAAATCCTTTGTGTAGTAGATTATTCTCATATAAATATTTTTCAATTTAAAATAGTTCTTCATTCTATTGCCATGATAAGAAAACGAACTAAAGTGAAATAATTATAAATTAAGTCTTGTATAAAACACGAATGAATTTTGAAAATTTTATTGGAATCAATTATCTAAAAACTGAGGGTGGGTGTGGGTGTGGATGTGGGTGTGGTGAGTGTATAAAACATTATCTACACCCATGCCATTTATTATCATTCGAAAGATTTTCATACTCCCTTTATATACCCTTAGTATGGAAACTTCTAGAACTTTTTCGAATGTTTTAGAAAATTAAAAAAAAACGCAAGAATTTTGTTGACAACCTAATACTATGTCCACAAGTACTGACATTTTTTTTCAGGCTAGTCTAATTGAGGGCTTTATCTGGGCAAAGTTTCAGCACAAAATTCGAAAATACGATTTTGCTGGAAAATCATGGTCCCACAGGGAATTTTGGGTAAAACTTGAATATCTCAACCAACTTGCAATATGGGCCCATATCCTCTTAGGCTTTTTCTATTCTACAAGACCCCTACTTATGGGCAAAATATGGAGCCAAAAGCAGTGAATCACTTAGGGACTTTCCCTCGTAAGTTTTGTTTTCATGTTATTAAGAGAGACTTGTGGGAGTGTCATATTAAAATTAGTATGACCATTTATTAATACTAATATTAGTGCTTTTGAAATTATTATTTTAAAAAGTCGTAATTCTTTGATATTATTTGGATTAAAATTAATTAATGTAAAGATGTTTGTATTTATTTACCATTCCGTTAAAATTTAACACATACTTATTAGATCTTCAACACTTTTAAAGCTCAACCGCTCCTAGAATAGAAAAAAATTTTTCTATTTTGTGAATGGCGTTTCCGGTTAAAAAGAAACCTTTGTTATGTTCTTGAAAAGTCTTTGAGATGAATTCTGATAGATATAATTGTGAGTAAAAGATGTATTTGAATTAATAATAATGCTAAAGTTAATACAAATACTTTGGCATAAATTAATTCTAATCGACATAATGTCGATGCATTGGAGTTTATTTTAATACGAATAGTTAATGTGATAGTTTCACTCGTAATAGTTTGAAATTGAAATAGTAAGCGAAATTCGTATGAACAGGTAAAAAAATCGTTTTTCAAATGAAAAGCTGCTAGTGTGATCCCTGAAGGATTAAAACGTTGAGCTCGATCTGACTATTGTTGCTAATCGCATGAAAATTGTTTGATTTGATCGATTTTGGAACATTTCTTCATCATTCTTTTACTCATTCCCTAGAACTGCCATAAGGAAGTAGTTCATATATTCTAACATGATGTAAATGATACAGGGTCTGCGATGGTCTCTAGAGACTGTCTGTCACAATCTGTATGAAAATGGGTGTAAGTATGGGTATGTGCTGACAGTGAGGCTTCCAGTGACGCCAGCATCCACACCCCACATCCACACTCACACCCACACCCTTCATCAGACATGAAACAACGTTATCACAAACACAGTTTACACACTCGAGATTTTCCCTTCTCATCCCTCTTTTCTTTTCTTTCCTTTGTTGTTGCTTGTTATTTATGATAGTGACACAGCAAGACGGTGACACTGATAGGATCGACTAATTGTCGTTTTATTCATCCCATTATCATAAATAACAAGCAACATCAAAGAAAAGAAAAGAAAAGAAGAACGACAAGGGAAAAATGCTCCAGTGTATAAACCGTGCTTGTGCTCACGTTGTTCTATGTCTGACGATGGCAACATCATTGTCGAAACATCACGATTAAAAATAAAAATAGGTAGAGTAATTCATATCAAATAAATTTATTATGTCCTTCCTATTAAATCGAAATGAATTCATACAACGCCTCTCATATAAACCATAAGACTTTCTTTGGAAGATTTGGAGGATGGGATCTCAATTCCATGTACCTATAGATTATGTTCTTCTAATTCTGAACATGATGAGCATCACGATTGCCGCTAATAAGTAATGAGATAGGCAGAACAAGGCCGCCCGTGAAAGCATGTGCCAAGTGTATCATGTACGAGGGTGTAAAAAAAGTTGAGTGAATATGGTGCGATTGGTTATCTCAGAAGACGCAAGAAAACGGAGTCATCATGATGTGAGGGCATACTCTAAGAGAACGCAATAAAAAGGAGTATCAGCATAGTGGGGTTGTTTAGTTATAAATAACAAATGCATAAAAGGTATATTTTCATAATTATCTGAAGAACGACGGTTAATAACTGACAACAACCACCATCACTACCATAACAAGAAAAATGGGCAAACTTGATGGAAAAATCGCTCTCATTACCGGTGGCTCTGAAGGTATTGGTTTGGCTACTGCTCAGCAGTTCATCGTCGAAGGTGCAGCGCATGTCTTTATCACTGGACGACGTCAACAAGCACTCGATGATGCCATCAAGATAATTGGTGACAATAATGTGACCGCAGTACAAGGTGATGTCTCCAATTCGGCCGATCTCGACAAGCTGTACAGCTTGATTCAGGAGAAGGCAGGGCGTTTAGATATTCTCTTCGCCAACGCAGGTGTAGCAATGTTTACTCCTCTGGACACTGTCACAGAAAAACAATTTGACGACCTATTTAATATCAATGTCAAAGGAGTGTTGTTTACTATCCAAAAAGCATTGCCAATATTCTCCGACGGTGGATCGATCATCCTCAATGCATCTACCTATTCTGTCAAAGGACCTCCAGGCATGAGCGTCTACTGTGCTACAAAGGCGGCTCTTCGCTCTTTCGCCCGCTGTTGGACGGTCGATTTAAAGGAGCGCAAGATCCGAGTGAATGCTGTGAGTCCGGGACCAGTTGACACGCCAGGAACGAGACATTTGGGTGGCAAGACTGAAGAAGAACGAAAACAGAATTGTGCGCACTTGGCAGCTACTTCACCGATGAATCGATTTGGTACAAGTGATGAGATTGCAAAAGCAGTAGTTTTTCTCGCTTCGGACGATAGCAGTTATATAACGGGCATAGAACTTTTCGTTGATGGCGGCATAGCACAAATATAAGACTTTTTTGCACAATCATATTACGAATAAATTTATTCAATGATATATGTGGTACTTGTTTTATTCTCATTTTTAATTTTAAGAGCGAAGAATCCACAAAAGGAGCTGTAATATGCCTTGATAACGTTAAACTGACTGTCAGATAATCTTAGGGTGTGGATGAGGTTGGTTGTGACTTTGGCTGTGGATGAATACAGGAAACCAGACACATCCACATCCACATCCACATCCACACCCACTACCACAACCATACCCACACCCCAAGTTACTGCGTAAAACGCTGCTATTATACGTGATATTATCATAAACTGCGTAGAATTCCATCGCGTCGACATTGGTCAATGGTGTTGCAAGACAGATTTGTGCAACGAAGTTACTCAAACAGTATCATCAGGCTATGTCATTTCTGATGATAGCCATTGTGGGTACCGAGATGTTTCATCAATGAGAGCAGTCATATTTTTACTTCTCGCTATACAATACTTTTGAAATTTTTCTGATTATTTAAGTATGATGCAGAGGTCTCAATGGGCCGTACCGAACCCGGCACAGTCCGGCCTGTCCAATGGGCCGAAATTTTTTTAAATGGAAAACCATGGACCGACCCGGGCTGAATTTTTAAGAAAAGAAATTTTTGAAAGATGCTTTAGTTCTACTGGTTTTATTGTCAATGAACGTCGAACATCTTTACATCCACACCAAATTGATAATATAATAGTAATACGTTCAGTGAATAATTTTAAAAAGTAATACTTTTTTTAATATTATTCTCTTGACTGTAGGGAGGGTAATATAAAATAAAATCAGTTTGTGGTTATGTATTGTCAAGGTCAAAAAAAAAACATCAGAGGCGAACTTTATTTAAGCGTACCCTCTTAAGTTTCACGAAGGGTAATTGAGGTCGGGAAATTCGAATCTGAAGTCGGATTTTGCATCCGACCTTCCCATTGGCTAGGAAGCCGACCAATCGGAAATGAGCTTTTAGATTATAAGCTTTTTCGGTCTTTTGATGAAGCTTTACTATAGGTTATCGAGGACCAGGATTCCGAATCTGAAGCCGGTTTCTGAAAGTTTTGAACTTGATTTTTTCGATCAGGGAATTCGCTTTTTGAGAAAATAACAATTTCTTTAAAAGGCTTAATTGAAAGTAACCGGGGTCGGGAAAGTCGAATCTGAAGTCGATTTCTCAAAATTTTGAGAGTGTGGGTGTGGGTCTGGATTGGCGTTGGGTGTGGCTGTGGCTGTGGCTGTGGCTGTATTGTCTGTAGTAAAAGAAGACCCACACCCCACACCCACACCCACACCCCAAATCAACATCAAAATGCTATCTATCAAACATGGTCTTCCACCCAGAATCTCGCCAAGAAATATCGGAAACCATTTCTGTATCATTTATGACGAGTTATGTAAACTACCTGTACACAGTTCAAGGTCTAGTATGAAAAGCTAGCTTAGATGGTTAATAAGCAGAAATGAGAATCAGCCTAACAAGGTATATCACCATTCATGAGTAGTTTTACGACAGAAGACATCAAGAGTATCGTAAACCAACTTTGCATAACCCTTGAAAGTTTATAGTTATCCTTATTACATAGTAGCAGATGGCTAATAGTTACTGGGTGTGTGTGTGGATGAAGAAAAGGCACCCACACCCCATACCCTCACCCACATCCACACCCCTACACTCCACACCCAACTGAGCATTTTTCAGATAAATTGGAGATGATGATTTTACAGCCACTCAGCTTACACCTCTAGTCGCCACTAGATTCGAAAAGTTCACGTGACAGTGATCAAAAATTCGTAGTCATGCAGATCTCTACTTGAGAGTATGAACGCTGATGCTGTGAGGAACAATACTCATATCCACAGTGAAGCCGAATTAAAATGGATTACTATAGAAGGATTATATAAAAGCTTTTGCATATTTCCGTACCCTTCCTTCAAGGATCTAGTTGCAGAAAAATTAGTTTCGATTTCTAAAAATCAATAGAATTCATTCTGTCGACGACCATATCTTTGGTTTCGTGATATAATTACAAACCTTGATATAAAAAAGAAAACCTGAAACGTGATCTACTACCGAAAAATTCTTCAGTAGCATGCATACCCAGTACCACGCTACTATTTATTGACCTTTAATCTATTATCCATTCTTCAGAAACATTCTAGTAGAAGATATTTGTTTCAGTTTTTTTATGTTAAGCATGACTTTGACATCAAATTATGGTTTCAAGTAGAAAGTAAGAAAGAGCAATTCAATTTATCTTCATGATGTGTGAAGAACACTATGTAAAACCGTCAACTTTTGGCTTTTGATCCATTTTGAAGACTAAGAACAAAAATCCGAACAGAACACTTAATATTGCATTATCGACTCTATCTAACGCATAGATAATCAATCCGACGAATTCCAGCTGGTGAACGATGCTTTTTTAAAACTGTTGACATTATTTGTCAGAATGACACATGGACAATGCGGGTCTGTTGTTGAAATCTCGATATCAGTATGTTGAAGTCGAAAAAAAGTCAACATACAAAGTGAGGATGTGGATGGAGTGGATGTTGGTGTGGGTGTGAGTGATCCGAAAACCAACACTCACAGCCACACCCTACAAACTGAAATAAGTATGCAGTATCAATTGATATTATGTTCATATCAATGATATAATGTACTTAAATGAGACTTAATTTCAATTATCTCATTGATATGTTAACAAATCAATCTTCGATGTCGATATACATGTATAGAATGTCTTTCTTCATAAGATAACAATATCCACTATTTAAACAATAAAAACTCTTGGAAAACGAAGGATTTCAATGGATGAATATGTAAATATGAGTTTTCTATTCTCTAAGATTTAACAATATGATAATTTTAGTATGAAATATTAGACTACATTAAAATTTCCTATTGTTTGAATATTATTGCTTATGTGGTCATCTATTTTAGAAAATAGTCGAAATTGAAAATGAGAATTTTTATCTGAAACTTAATTTTCCGAAGGTGTTTTCGATAGATGCAAGAATCTATGAAAATGTGAATGTATGAATGGAATGACAGTCGAATGTTCCCATAGACGTTTACTCAAATCATTTTAAATATTATGTATAGAACGTAAGAATATGCTTTGAATAAAAAGATATGTTAATAGTTGAGTCATGTATCCAATAATTAATGTATAGAAAATAGTGAATTGATGATCATGTCATTAATTAATTGAAATGATATACGACAAAAGATAATATGTTCATTATTAAAATAGTTATTGATAAATCAAATTTATTAAATTATTATTTTATGAAGTTTGTTTCGAAATAAAGATAGATCTGATTTTTTAGCGACCGTGGAACAAGAAACTCGGTATTTTTTTAAAATTCCATGTCAATCATATTATTAAACTTTACAAAATTTAATATATTGGAATAAAATAAAAATGCGCTTTGAAAAAAAAACATTAGAATGAAATATTTTCTTGTGAAGAAGAAAATTTGTATTAGAAACTGTAAACATAAATGCCATTATTGAATAATTGTTGATTGATTCATGACGGAAAAAGATTTTAAGCTTATCGAAAGTGTAAAAAATAATTTTCATAATGAATATTGAATGAAAATTATTTTTCAATAATTTTTCTTATCATACATAAAAGTTTTATTCTTAAATATGTTTGAAAATTTTGACAGTACCGAATAAGAATGTTGTTTTTTCGATAAAATAGGTGTTGATAAATTATTTAGTAAAGTATTATTTGGTATTAAGATAGCTGTTTTTTGATAATTTTCAATAGCTCTTATAATAGATGGATGATTTCTAGGTAATGATAAACGACGAATATCATAAGTCATTTTATAATAAGATAATGCATGATAATAATCTTGTAAAATAAAATATATTTTTCCAATATTTGAATATGTTATAGCAAGATCGGGATGTGTTTGAGGAAGTAAATTTAAATCAATTTTAAGACTTTTTTTAAAATAAATAAGAGCATCATGAAAATGTTCTTGTTTTGTAAGAACCATTCCAATATTATTATAAACAGATGCTAATATTCTTTGATCATTTGTTTTTGTATTAAGAGCTGATTGAAAATAAAATAAAGCATAATTAAGGTTTCCTTGTGCATGATAAATCGAACCAATATTTGAATATGTATCAGCTAATTGTGGATCATTATATTTATCAGGTAAATAATTTGCTTTAATATCAATTGATTGTTGAAAAAAGTAACGAGATTTATCAAGATTTCTTTTTTCATTATGAACACAACCAAGTTGATGATAAATAAAAGCTAATTGTTGATAATCATTTGGAGAAATATTTTCTAAAATATTTTCATATATTTTTTCTGCTTTATCAAATTCTCCAATAGTTAACATTAATTTTGCTAAACATTCCCAAGGATTTGATAATAATTGAATATCTTCACGTAAATGTTTTGTTAATTGTTCAAGTTGTATATCATCTTGATTTTTTGTTAATTTTAAATAAATTTGCCAAATTTTATTTTCATCTTTTATTTGTTGAATATCAACAATACGAAAAACAGTATGTGTTGAAAAAAGTATTTCTTTTTCTTCATTATTAAAATAACTTAAATTATTTAATGATGCATATGGATTTAATAAATTCATTTTTTTTGGATCAATTTCCATACGAAATATAATTCCACGTAGACCTGGCTTTTTAATAGCATGACGAGCAAATTCAAGTGAGACATTTTTATCAAGACTTGTTGAAAGAAATGTATTAAATGATATTAAACCACCTTTATATTTACATAAATTTTCAAATTGATCATTTTTTATTCCTTGACCACGATAAACAATCATTGAACAATGTTCTTGTAAATTGTATAAATGTTGAATTTGGTGATGAAGATCTTTTATAAAAAATCCCATTTTAATTAAAACATCAATATTTTGAGTCCGAAGAGCTTTATTAAGAATTTCATAGATAAAAGATTGTCGTGTATACCACCATATAGGTGAATGTTTTTCATAATCATTTTCAAACTCCTGAATTATATTTATTTGATCTATATTTAATATATTTAAATGTAAATAACAATATTGAATAAATTCTTTTTTATTATATTCATCATATTTAATATTAATTAAAATTTCTTTTAATAATCGTGAATACATAAAATCTGGTTCAAGATTATTTAATTTATCAATAGTTAATGTTTTATTTAATATATCTATTGAAATAAGATCATTTTGACAATGTCGAATATCTTGTTTAAGTTGATAACAAAGTTTATAAATTTCAGTAAAAAAATGTCCTTTTAATTTAAAATATTTATTTGACCATAAATCATATTGTTTTATATGTTTACAATATACATAAATTGAATCGATAGATGTTAATTGATGAATATGAGGAACCATTTTTTCAACAAATTTATCATATAATATTAAAAAAATGATTTCATTATCGTTGACATTATTTTCAAGAAAATTTTCACAAAGATTTGGATCATCAAATGTTTGAACAGAATTAACTATTTGTCGAAGTTCATTTAATAATTGAAGATCATTACTTGATTTATCATCATCATTAATACCCACAACAATTATATTAATATCATCTAATAGAACTTTTTCATTTGATAACCATTTTATATTATTATTCTTTTTTGACGTCGAGTTTTTATTACCCATATTTATCTATAATATCCTTACTCTAGAACATTATTTTATATATATTATTATTAAGTAAACCAACCAATAAAATACTCGTATAATATTATGTATGTGTGACATATGATAGTTTATTTTATTTTCGTTGTTTCTATTATTTATCCTTGGATCTTTTTATTTAAACTATGTTATTCTCGAATTCAGTGACGCAGCCAGAAATTTTTTTTTGGGGGGGATCGCAATAGAAAAAAGACATTTTTTGACTAGCAAAAACGAATTAGCCTGTACCCCCTCCAGGCATTTCGGTCTTTCGGGGGGGATCGATCCCCATAATCCCCCCCTGGCTGCGTCACTGCTCGAATTAGAAATAAAAGAACAATAGAAACATTTTCCACTGGGCTTCAACATAAAAAAGAATTCTATGTAATACTTGAAGTACAAAACCAGAATCTAGAAATAATATAACCAAGAATATCGACTGTGTCTATAAAATAACCTTTTTCCAAATAGCATGCCCCTGTGCATACTAGAATAAACGAATAAATGACCGTCTTCTTGCTATCTCGTTCTCTTTTGTTCTCATTTTTTCCTGTGGTATACAAGCTTGTATTTTATTCTTAAATGAAAGGTCTCATTAGTAATCGAAAAACGAAAAACATTGTTGACTAATTGACGAGTCTGTAACATACAGTCATGCTTTGTTATTTTTTCATCTGTTTCCTTTTTATTCTCTGTAGAAAAAAGAATGACTCATAACTGTACAATACTCAATACTAACAAACACGTCATATAGCTTTACAAAATGAGTAACTTAAATCGAGAAATATATTCGTCGTAGATAATGATGATAGAATATAAATATTTATTTATATCATATATATATATACTTTGTTGACTAAAAATAACTATTCAATAGTAAACAATATTAGAAGATAATATAAGTATTATATATATATTCAATCGTATGGCAAGTTATGATCTTGATTCTCATCTTTTTCGTACAAATCTATATAGAATATTTTCGAGTTCACATTGAATATAATCAATTATTTCCAGCACGATATTTTATTTCTTTTGCAAATCTTGACTTTCTTTTTCGATTAATTTTTATTTATTTATTTTTTGAAAAACTATCTATAGAAGATAATATAAAAACAATTTATATATATATATAGCTAATGTGTTATGACACAAAGTACATTATTTTCATCATTTTAACTAGAAAAACGAACTAGAAGAGCCAAAAGAAAAGTTAATTTATTATGTTAAAGGTATTTTTATGATAAAGACATGTTGCATTTTATAAACTATCTCTTTCTAAATGTTATCAAGAGAAATAATTTATTTATAAAAATAAGTTTGATTCAGTTTAAAAAACAAACCCTATTTTGAGTCGATTTCATTTCTCTTTATTTAATAATTCAATCTTGATAATTTTATTACGAATCTACAATTTATCATAGTGTTTTTGATAAAGTTCTTCAGATTGAATGGTTTTAATTGATATCTTAAATGATCTTACTACGATTATGAAGGAAAAAAAACTGAAATTTCTATCATCTATGTATCTTTCATTATCTAATAGTAGATTAAAATTATTTTGACGAATGATATAATTATTAATTCACACAAGTAAACTACCCGAACTGATTTCAACAATTTACTAGAATTTTTTCGATCTCATTAATGTAATCCTGTAATCGTTCGTGCTTATATCTATTTATTTTCGAGATATAGTCGAATTAATATCACAAGAAAAAAACAAACTCAATTTTCTTCCATATCTTTTTTTTTGTTATCTGAATAAATATAAATTAATCTTTAATGATAATCGTGTGCTAAAACATGATAAATCGTGGTTTAATCAAGTTCATATTAACCCTCTGAGTCCGGGGATTATTTTTATGCGGAAAAAAATTGTCAAAATTTTAAATCAAGGTTTATTTTAAAAGTATATGACAAAATTGACAATTGAATAAAGTAATCCAGAAAATATAACTCTACATCGAAATGAATATTTTAATAATAATTATCGTTTCTGGATATGACTCTTCTCACAGTGTGAGCACGAAAGAAACATTTTCTTCTAAGATTTACTTGAATAGATGTTGATGGAATGTATGAAGAAAAATGTCATGATGTCAGTCAAAGTGTACTTTGAGAAAAGAGTCAGCTAATTAAACTTTGCATCTGACTTCTGTCATCTCTGATTGTTGAAGAATTTTAAAAAGTATTGAATCTGCTAAAATAATTTAAGTTTTCATTCGAATAATAAGAGAAACTATCTTTGTATATGTATTAATTATATAGATATATCAATCGTGAAGAGAGAAATTTCTTGAAGAAATAGTTAATACATAAGAAAATGGTAGTTCATGTTGAGCTGAACATTTACGTAAAATATATATTTTTTTTGATGTATTTAAACGTCAATTACATGCTCAAGTATTAGATAAACAACATTGAGTTAGTGAAACTGAAACAATGTCTGCTGTTTTAAAACCATTTTCATGTGATCAAAATACAATAAATGTTGATTTAGAATTAATTATTAATTTTTTCTTGTTTGTCTTCGTTTAACTTCACATAATAATGAACTATTAAAAATTTTAAATTTATTATAATCAACTATATTTCATTGCAGAGATGCTCGAGGGATATCCACCCATGGAGTGATGATGCACTAAATGGGGATTGAAGGAAGTGTTACACCATCACCTTCCTCCAAAAATGTTCTATTTTCGTACATTCAATTCCCTACGCATGATAGAAATGCGATTCTTAAAATACGTGAAAAGACTTGAAAATATAGACGAGAAGATTGTAGAAATTTTCTTACTGTTCTATGAGTGACTAATGTCACTCTTTCATATTGATATGTGACATCATCAATCAGTATTTTTGGATGTGAAATACTATACTTTAAGACAATCACACAAAAGAAGAAATAAGCCTATGTGTGATGAAATTGAAACTATCAATCATTCTCTAACATTCACATCAGTTAAACTAGTAACATAAATATAATTGAAAAAAGTCAATTGTTTTAAAAATATAATTTGATTATACATTTGATTCTGCTGAAGAATGCCTTGACGATGATGAATCATTTAGAGATAATTCAATCAACAAAATTGCTGATAAATTTGTCCCAGATTTATTTCTAGTTCAAAAATTAAATGAAAACAAAGATAATGGAAATTGGTTGTCTTAGTAAAAAGAGAATAGATCAAAATCATCCAAATTAGGATAATTAGCTTGTTGTTCGTTTGTGAAACTGATTTCAACATTATTAAAATGGTTATGTTTGATAAAAGCAACTTATTTGTTTCTATTTTGAAATACGATAAATGTTTTGTTAAGAGATTTCGTTTTATAACCTTTTCTTTCTTATTATTTTGACTGTATATTTGTAAATAATATTTATTGGACGTTTTCGTAGGTATAACTATTATTTTTTTTTTTGTTTTTGGAAAAACAAATACTCTTTTCTTCGTGTGCTCCATCAGTTGAACTATGATCGAGGGTAAACTAAAGTCAGTAGGAAAAATGTTTATGTAGAAAACTGACGGAAGAAATATATTTTGGCAGGTATGATAGACAAATATTGATTATAATATGTGGAACGTGTTTTAGTGAATTATAAAACAATAGAATTCTTTTGATGTCTCCTTTTTTTAAAGTTTATTTTAAAAATGCAATATAGTCATTCGATTTAATGTTGTTTTTGTTTTCATATTTTTTCATAAAAATGTTAATTAATAAATGAAGAATTGTTATTAATGAATAAATATTCTTATTAATTCTTAAGATGCATAAATATTCTCACCATGAATATATTCAATTAATTCAACTGATAGAATGATTTTATTTAATATTTAACTAGATAAACAAAATAAACAAAAAAAAACAATAGTTTGTTAGTAATAAGCTTTAATGAATAAGAAGAATTTTGTAGAAAAAATATGAATAATATGGAATAGAAAAAAAAAGAAAGAAACTAACTCAATTTATTAATAACATAATAAACGATAAGACAATCAGAATTCGAAGCTTCTCGACGTTCGAGTACGAGCTTTGGCAAACGAATTCATCATTAAAAAAGAAACATTATCGTTAGAAGTTATTAATTACAATTGAGAAAAGAAAAAGATCCCTGGTCTATTTAGCCAGGGGAACTTTAACCTCAGCAACCTTCTTTTGAAGCTGCATCGCCTGATGATTTTGTTATTGATACTGTTGTTAAATTCTAAGACAAAAAAAAAACAAAAACAAAATTTATTTATCTATATAAGAAAAAAGTTGTAATTTTTACTTCTGAACATGTTGGATGAATTCCAACAGTCATATCAAAATCATTTTTTGTAGCTCCAAGTCTCATTGCTACGGCATAACCTTGAGTTATTTCACCAGCATTTGGAGATAAAACATGAAATCCAACAACACGATTCTTAATTAAAATAAAATTCATTTTACTTCCATTTTTATTTCTTCTATCTTAATATAAACTTACTGTATTTTTGTCAACAATTAATTTACAATATGACATTGTTTTAACTTTTTCACGATGATGACATATTGACCATTCTAATGGAACAAATTCACTGTGATATACCTTATTAAATAATAATTATTTAAAAGAATTGAAAAATAAATATTATTTATTTTACTTCAATATTTTCTTGACCAAAATGAGAAATAGCATCTTCTTCAATATAACCAATAGCACCGTATTCTATTGGAGTAAAAACTGTTGTTGGAACGTTATGATAATCCATCTAAATATATTTATATACATACATATTTATTTAATTAAAATAATAATTCATCATTTGTTAGTCAAACCGTTATTGAACTATTTGAAAAAAGTCGTCGAGCTAATAATTGACCTGCTTGAATAGCAACTGGTGTTAATTCTAAAGGTTGTCCTCTAGGCATAGTTTGTTCATCAATACAATCTCCAATAGCATATAACCATGGACAATTAATTGATTGTTCATGTTTTGTTTTTATTTTAAAAC